CAAGCTGTAAAGTTATAGTCTTCATACTATAATCAGCAGTCTCTGGGAACTCTAGAAGAGGTGAATTCCCCATTTGATAATATATTTGATAATAAAGACTTGTATTTATATACAAATAAAGATCTGAATTGAATTTTAATTTAATAGAAAATTCAGAACTAATAACTTTATACAATATGTTTACTAATCATTTTTAACTTTAAAAAAGATTTGGTATTAGAATTAATAACTTCACATCATGATATTGTTTTATCAACTACATGAGATATTGAAGATAAATTACTATTAACTGATATAGATTTAAGTATGCTTAAAATAAATTATGCAGAAATAAGAAATTCTAAGCTTAATATACTTCTTACTAATAATTATTTATAAAATAACAACTCTTGTACATGCATATAGTATTTTCTTATTTTTTTACTATCTAGTTTGTTATTTATAATAAAGTTCTTCTAGTGGTTGTCTATTTAGATATTATGCTTTTGTATGGAAAAATAAATTACAAAGACTATATTTGTATTTTCTAATATTAGAGGTATTATTATCAGTATTTTGAGAAACCATAATTAAATTTTCTTTTTCTAAACAACTTTGTATATGTGATTTTTTTGCAGGTCTTCTAGAAAGTCTTTTTTTTCCTTATCTTTTAATTAGATTTTGAATTTAGTTGCTTTCACTATTTTCTTCTATAATCTAATTCTCATTACTAGAATTATTTAATAGAGATTCATTTGAATTATGTATAGATCAATCTATATAGTTATTAAATATTTTTAAAAAACTGTAATTTTCAGAATTCACAGTGATTTCTGTAGCTTTACAAGCAATACCCCAAAGTTTACTATATAATGTTCATTGTTTAATCTTTGCTTGATTTGTATATACTTTTTTGAATATTTTAATAATTAACAGAGTCCTGATCTAAATTTTTAATACTCATATATAGTAATGAAATAGTATTTGTTTTGGTTTAAATATTATAATTTGATCATACATCAACTTCATGATTGCTAATATCAAATTAAGAAATTGAGATTGTTACTAATTGTTTAATTTTATTATTATTGATCATATCTTTGAACTATTAAGAATGTATCAGAAATATAGCTGACAAAGATATAACTATAACTCATAAATAATATCAACATAATATCTTATGAGAAATAATTATTATATAGATACAAATAAATATGCTATCAGAAAGTAAAAATACAAACTGTGGAAAAGTAGGCATATTAATATTAACTGTATTCCAAGCTATAATAATTGAATTATTAAATTATTGAAAAATATATGATGTTAAAGCTTGAGGATAATCAAATATATCATTAACACATTTGTTATCAATTTCTTGAATCTAAAAACAGAAATAGAAATCCAAATTAATACAATAATACAAACTAACTTTAATGCCAACTTAGACTTTAATAAAAAATTTAATTCTATTACTAAACCTGATCTTAACTCTAACTCTAACTCTAATCTAATTCTACTATTAACCCTAACTCTAACTCTAACTCTAATGCTAAATCTGATCCTGATCCTAACTCTAATACTAATTCTAACTTTAATTTTTCTATTAAATTTTGAAAAACTAATTTACCTATTTATTATATTGATCTTTATATAAAACGATTGTAGTATAATATTGTGCACTAAGATTCATTTGATCTTGTTACTTTTTTAAACTTATTGGTGTTAAAAAGTTTTAATGATATCATCAATAGGCTTAAAAATACTATTAATATTTTGATTGCTTTTAGAAAGATATTGTGACATTTTCCAATTTATAAAAGTACTATTGATTGCTTCAGTTGCAAGTCTTTCTTCTAGTTCTATAAATAAATTATAAATACTAATATTTTAATAATTTAACTATTTTTTAATAACAGAATTAGTTGCTTCAGCTTTTGTGAAGACTGAATACCAGCATTAAATATATTATATGTGAATGCTTTAGCTCACATAGACTTATAAAAGTCCAGATTTTTCATTTAATAATCACTTGTATCAGAGTAGTTTTTAATTAATTATGCTTAATAATATTCAAATATTGGAATTGAAAGAGAATTGTAGTATTGATAAAAGGCTTTTATAAAGCTATCAAATTTGTTATCTAATTTTCCTTTTAGATTTGTTATTAAGTTTTGTCTCAAATACCAGATACAGTGAAGTGAAGTTGTATTGAAAAATATATCAAGAATAACAGAAAGCATAGCCAGATTAGCATCAGTCATAAAAATATTAGGTTTAATATAGAGTTTCATTGTAATACCTGAGGGTTTAAATAGAGTATCTATAAGCAGA